GGCAATCTGGTCCATATTTCTCAGGGACTCCATCTATGCCGCTCATTTCTTTCCTCAAAGTCTGCCAGAGAGTTAGCACCCTTGGACTTTTCTTCTCTTAGAGAAGAACAGTATAATGTGCCTTTTACACTTCAAGAACTGGAGGCAACACTCTCAGCTTGTCGATCATCGGCAGCTGGGTCCGACGACATTCATATTTGTATGCTACAACATTTACATCAGTCAGCCTTTGCAGTCCTATTTTTGCCTTTAAAAATCTTATTTGGTCACAAGGAGTTCTTCACAGCTGTGGAAATCTGCCCTTGTTCTCCTTTCCACAAACCAGGCACTACGGGACATGAAACCTCCCACTATCATCCCATTGGGTCTTACCAGTGCAGTTTGCAAAGTAATGGAACCCTAGTAAATAGACGTTTAGTGTGGTATTTAGAGACACACAAAAGTCTCTCCACTCGTCAATATGGCTTTCGTAAGGGATGTTCTACCCTTTGACCCCTTACTACGCTTGGATACGTATGTTCGTAATGCCTTTGCGAATAACCACTCGGGTTTTTGCCCAATTTTTTTTACCTTCAGAAGGGATACGACACAAAATTGGAGGTATAATATTTTAGCCCAAAGCCCACTCCTTAGGCCTTCGAGGCAATCTACCATCCTTCCTTAAGAACCTTTTAACTGACAGGCATTTCCGTGTTCGGGTTAATAATGTGCTCTCCCCGGACTTTATCCAAGCTGAAGGTGTCCCCCAGGGATGTGTTCTGAGCACAACACTTTTTCTCCTTGCTATTAATGATTTGGCCTCTAGTCTTCCATCAAATATTTGGTCATCACTCTATGTTGATGACTTCACTATTGCCTGTGCAGGCACTGTCACCTCATTACAGTTTCTCTCCAACATGCAGTCGACCGTGTTTCCAATTGGACCACCACACGTGGGTTTAAATTTTCCAGCACTAAAACCCACCAAATTACTTTCACTAGACGCTCTGTCATCTCCGATCATCCTTTGTACCTCTATGGCTCCTGTATCCCTGAACGTGATAGTCAAGTTTCTGGGCCTCCTCTTTGATCGTAGGTTATCCTGGAAACCTCACATTACCTCTCTGAAGGCAACTTGTCACAGCCGGCTGAACCTTCTTAAAACCCTTGCTCATCTTTCATGGGGAGCTGATCGTCGAACCCTCCTTCGCCTACATTCCACCCTTATTTTATCGAAACTTGATTATGGTGACCAGATCTATTCAGCGGCATCTCCTGCTACTCTCTCTAGCCTTAACCCTATTCATCACCAAGGATTACATTTATGCCTTGGTGCTTTTCGCTCTTCCCCTGTCGAGAGCCTCTATGCAGAAGCGAACGTTCCATCCTTATCTGATCGCTGTGATGCCCATTGCCTGCGCTACTATGTACGCTCTCATGATCTCCGCAATCCTTCCATTTATAGAATGGTCACTGATATTAGTAGACATTCTTTATTTGTTCGCCGCCCCTGTTTACTCCGTCCCATCTCTCTTCGCCTTCATTCGCTCTTGTCTTCTCTTCAACTACCACCTTTCTATGTACATGTAGCATCTCACTTTTCCCTACCCCCCTGGGAAGTTCCAGCTGTTCGAGACTGTTCTTTCTCCCTCCCTTGCTCGAAAGCCCAACTGTCTACGGTCGCTTCTTGCTCTTTTTCTTGACCACTTTCACTCTCATTCTCATGCCATTGCTGTGTTCACAGATGGCTCTAAGTCTTCTGACAGCGTAGGATTCGCAGCAGTGTTTCCGGACAGCGTCGTACAAGGGCATTTACTATCTTCGACTAGTATTTTTACTGCTGAATTATATGCCATCCTTACAGCACTTATCCGTATTGCATCTATGCCTGTGTCATCATTTGTGGTTGTCTCAGACTCCCTTAGTACTTTACAGGCTTTACAAAAATTTGATACACCTCACCCCTTAGTCCTCCGTATCCAACTTTGGCTACGCCGCATCTTTACCAAGCATAAAGATATTGTTTTTTGTTGGGTCCCTGGTCATGTTGACGTACAGGGAAATGAACAGGCAGACACTGCTGCGCGGTCAGCAGTACATGACCTACCAGTTTCTTATAGAGGTATTCCATTTACGGACTATTTTGCTGCAATATCTTCCCACCTTCACACCCGTTGGCAACAACGTTGGTCTACTATGCTCGGCAACAAACTTCAATCTATTAAACCGAGTATAGGTTACTGGCCGTCTTCTTATCACCAGTGTCGAGGTTGGGAGACTACTCTCTCCCGTCTTCGCATTGGCCATACTCGTCTTACTCATGGATATCTCATGGAGAGGCGTCTTGCTCCTCTCTGTGACAATTGCCAAGCTCCATTATCAGTCAGCCACATTCTGTTGGACTGCCCACTTTATCAACGAGCACGCAGAATTTACCTCTGTCGTCGTCTTCGTCCGCTGCTCTCTCTTTACCTTCCCTTTCGTGATGGACCCACCTTTCATCCGGACTCTCTCTTTTGCTTTTTGACAACGAGACTGACTTACAAATTCTAAACCCTTCACCCTTTTATTTCAATCTCTTGCTACCCTCTACCCCCGTACAAAATCCCCTCCCCCGCTGTTTTCGAAACCCGCTGATCATCCCTCCTCCCTTCTCCACCAATACCCTCGTTTTCCTTCCCTCCCCTGCGCGTGATAGCCCTTGGGGCTTAGCGCTTTTTTTTTGATTATAATAATAATAACCCTCTGGTGTAAAAAATTTGAAGAAAATCTTACTGCATCCAACAGAGTAGCTTTAAAAATAGGTTGGCCGGGAAATGAGTGGGGGGGTGGTGAGATTGGACTTGCCTAGCAGGGCGGCGCTGCAATGCCCTTCAAAAGTTTAAAAAGTTTGCAAAAAAAGGGAAATTAGTTGATTTTTCAGGGGGGGGGGTTTTGGGGGCCCTTGGGAAGTGAAATTTTTTTGATCCCAGAAATTTGCACCTCCCTTTCATTCCTGAATATTTCCCCTTTCCCCGGCTTTTAAGTCTTATGGTTTTTACACTTTTTCCCAACGTATAGTCAAATTGTTTGTTTTTTAATTTTTTCCAGCAGTTCTATATGTTTATTTAGAAAGTTTTTTAGTTTTTTTTAAATTCTGGTTATTATTTTTATTAAAGATTAGCCGGTATTCTCCCGGGCCCGGCCTTTTCCCAAGTGGTGCCCGGCCTTGGCTCCCCCTTAGAGTGTCGTGAGACCCAAGTCTCCCATGGAGGGGGCACCCGTCCCTCCTCATCTTTGGGCCAACTGTCCCCCGGGGCCCAGCCCAAGCAGCCTCTCTGGTCTGCCATACCCCCCCCAAGGGGGGAAAGGGAAAGACAGTCTTTGAGCTAAAGGCTCGGGCTCTGGGACCTACCCTCCCTGAAGGGTTTTGGGATGGGATCATCAAGTTACTGGGGAAAAGATAATCATTAGGCTAAAAGATTACAGTGTGTTTGTCAGGGTAATGAACAAAAGAAGCATTTGTATTATATGAAATTCTCTATGACCACTTGCTAGGGGAAACCTTAATATCTGTCTTTTTTTGAAAACAAATTTTTTAAAAAATTAATGAATGAGAATTTAATGTACTGGAGTTTACCTGGGGAGAGTTCCGGGGGTCAATGCCCCCACGGCCCGGTCTGTGACCAGGCCGCCTGGTGGATCAGAGCCTGATCAACCAGGCTGTTGCTGCTGGCTGCATGCAAACCAACGTACGAGCCACAGCCCTGCTGTTCAGGAACCGACTTTAGGTGCTTGTCCAGTGCCATCTTGAAGACTGCCAGGGATCTGTTGGTAATCCCCCTTGTGTGTGCTGGGAGGCAGTTGAACAGTCTCGGGCCCCTGACACTTATTGTATGGTTTCTTAACGTGCTAGTGACACCCCTGCTTTTCATTGGGGGGATGTTGCATCGTCTGCCAAGTCTTTTGCTTTCGTAGTGAGTGATTTTCGTGTGCAAGTTCAGTACTAGTCCCTCTAGGATTTTCCAGGTGTATATAATCATGTATCTCTCCCTCCTGCGTTCCAGGGAATACAGGTTCAGGAACCTCAAGCACTCCCAGGAATTGAGGTGTTTTATCTCCGTTATGCGCGCCGTGAAGGTTCTCTGTACATTTTCTAGGTCAGCAATTTCACCTGCTTTGAAAGGTGCTGTTAGTGTGCAGCAATATTCCAGCCTAGATAGAACAAGTGACCTGTGGAAACTACAGAAAATTTAGGATGCACATGAAACTTTTCCAACTTATTAGAAATGAGGAATTATATAAATTATAATAGGAAGCTAAATTGTTAAAGGTAAATTTCTCTCCCATATATAGTAATGGTTACCATTATTGCTGTAGGAAAGGGTGGGTCACTGGTAGTGCTGCTGATGTCCTTTCCAGGACCCCAATGGAAATAAGTCACTCTGTCTGACTTTTTTGGGTTATCCCAGGTTCTCTACACATATGCTGCTATGTATGATAATTCTATGTAACTGTATTTGTGTATTCCTGAATAAACTTACTTAAAATGGAAGCAGTACCAGAGTATACTCAGTGGCCCACCTTTCCCAACAGCAATAATGGTAATCATACTCTATATGGGAGAGTAATTGACCTTTACCATTTTAGCTTCCTATTCAAATTTGTTATTCAGATCCAGTAATGTGGAAAGTTTTGTATGCATCCCAAATTTTCTGGAGTTTCCCCAGTTACAACAGCATGCCTTTCTTAAACCGAACTTTGTCTAGCATAAACTCCTATGCCAAACGTTGTTAGGTTTTCCTGTTTGCACTTTCCTTTATCGCTTCTCGGCCTTTTGGCTAAGATCAAAGTGTAGTATCTGTTCTTATCAGCTTAATAAGAAGCTAACAGATCCACTAACAGAAAGGGAAGAAAACAACAATGGTGATTACTGCTGACCTGTGACGGAGATGGGAGAAGGAGATGACGACACAGAGGATGACCACGACTCCTGGATCCAGATAGATGAGCGGCGACCTGAGGACGATTCCAGCAACGAGGCCCCAACCAGTGGTGATGGACGACGACCAGAGGACAGCGAGGCCCCAACCAGTGGTGATGGACGACGACCAGAGGACAGCCCCAGCAGTGAGGCTTCCACCGACAGCAATGGACAACCACTGGAGCTTTATGGTTCTCTCTTGCAGAATTGGCTCCTGTCTCCCGAGAATGGCAGTGCCGACGATGTTGTTCACCATCCACCAGCGGCGGACCGCAGAGCTGATGACGCTGACGTACCCCATCGGCAAGCAGTGCATGGGGATGCTGCTGCTGACATACACCAGCTGCCAGGGGAGATGGATGGTGCTGCCGTTGACATCCCCGTGAATGATGGTGCTGCCATGGACATCCCCGAGAATGATGGTGCTGCCATTGACATCCCCCACCGGCCAGAGGACGGGGACATCCAGCCTCAACGAGATGGTAACCGCCTGATCATCCGCTTCCCGCCCCCTAAGTCCTTCAGGTGCACTGAAAACTGCCCTTGGTCGAGCTCTAGCACCTTGTGGACCAACCTCAGACAGTCACTTGAGCGACACCTCTTCGCCACACACGACGTGGTCATTCTCTCGCACTCATATGTTTGTGCTGGATGTAACATCGTCCTGGGCAGTCGTCCAACCCTACATAGATGTCCCAGGAATAGACAACTGAGAATGGAGCCCCCTGAACTACAGCACCAACAACGCCTGCGGTTTAGGTGTGAGAATGAAGGCTGTCACGAGGCATTTCCATCCAAAATTGGGCTGAAGAACCATAAGGCCGCACACCGCCGACAAACTGCCAGGGAGGCCCAGCGGCTTGGACTCCGCCTTCGAAGACTTCCACCTCCACTGCCGGAAGAGCGCCCTCGGCCAAGTCCTCCACAGTTGCAGCCCCCTCGACTGCGGGCCCCACCACAGGGGGGGTCCCCCCAGCCACGAACTCAGCAGGCACAACACCCACAGCAACATGACAGCCCACCATCTTCCTTAGCCCTTTCCCCCCTACCTCCTACCCCCTCCCCTCCCCTCCCCTCCCACACACTTTTGTACCTTGGAATGGGTCCCAGTCTGAATCCCCACCAAGGTCTGGCCCTCCACCGCCATCCCCTCCAGTTCCTGCCTCCCTTACTCACACCTCTCTTCGTTCCTCCTCCTCACCCCGACCCACACCTTCTCCCCCTCCTGTCCATTTCCCCTTACCTCTCTCATTGCAGGTACCGCCGCCACCTCTCTCCCCTTCCTTGGCAGATGAGACCGCCTCACCAGCGACGCTGTTAACTGACCACTCTCAGCTGCCAGGAGTGGACCATCAGGATACAAGCCAGGTGACTGCTGACCAAGACGACGCGGTGGAGGAGTGGATTCTTGAGCCCTTCCTAGGTCCCTTGCTTGATGTACTACACAACCCTGACTGGGACAAGTTTGTCGAGCTAACACGGGAGGTGACTGAGGAAATACAGCGGGCCAACTCCATTCCAACCCAACGAAATAACTCCCCTACCCGCCGGGGAACAATTGATGTTAACGACTGCAAGGCCATACAGCGCCTATACAAGATTAATAGAAGAAGAGCAGTGCGGTTAATAACTACGGGCGAGGGCAGTCGTTGCAGCATACCTAAGGAAAGGATAGAGGCACACTTCCGCCGGATCCAGGGAGAGTATGTGGACCCCCTAGACGACCCAGCACTGGTGGAGGCAATTCCTATCCCAACGGAAGAAAGACCACCCCTTCGACTCGACCCATTTACTGAGAAGGAAATAACAACACGGCTCGCTAAGGCTGAAAATACTGCCCCAGGTGATGACCGCATTACCTACAGGAACTGGCGACTGGCAGACCCAGGAGGTCGCGTTATAACAACAATCTTTAACATCTGTCTACGTGAGGGCCGCATCCCAGAAGACTGGAAGTCCTCACGCACTATACTGATCCCCAAGAGTGGCGACCTACAGGAGATAACCAACTGGAGACCAGTTGCCCTGTGCAGAACAATCTACAAACTCTACACGGGATGTTTAGCTGCCCGCCTCAGACAATGGGTTACTGACAATGACGTACTGTGCCCAGCACAGAAAGGCTTTATGCCCAGTGACGGTGTAGTAGAACACAATTATATTCTCCAACACTACCTTGATGAGGCCCGCAGTGGCAACACGGACATCTGCATAGCCACACTAGACATCCACAATGCCTTTGGTTCGATTCCGACTGAACTGATAGAACTATCCCTTGACCGTATGGGTGTCGGGGAGGAGTTCAGGAGGATAATCAGTGGAGTAATACAAGGGAACTCCACCCGAATCATGACCAATGAAGGAGAAACTAATGATATCCCAACTCAACGAGGAGTCCGACAAGGATGCCCCATTAGTGGGCTACTGTTCAACATCGGTATCGAGGCAATCCTGCGAAAAATCATAACAGCTGGCATGACCATAAACACCCAGCTGAAGCACCCGTGCCTTGCATATGCCGATGACATCACTCTCTTAGCTCGGACACCAGCACAACTGCAGGCGCTCATCAACGTCGCAACACAAGCATGTGGGGAGCTTCGGCTAACCATCAACCCTGCCAAATGCACCTCCCTGCACATGTCCGGAGCCAGCCCACGAGGGATGAGACGAACCCCATTCCTTGTAGGGGACACACAGATTTTGTCCATTGAGGATGGACAGTATACAAAATTCCTAGGGCGTCCTGTCGGTTTCCAGCTACTACCAGACATAGCCATCATAGAAGACTACATCACCCTGGGGAAGAGCATACTCGAGAGCAAGCTCGCACCCTGGCAGCGCTTGGACGCCCTGAAGACATTTGTACTACCATCCGCTGTGTTCGCCATGCGAACATGGCAATTGAGGAAAACCGATTGGACGCGCCTTGACTGTGCACTGCGACCGCTGATTAAAAAGACCCTGTACCTTCAGCCCCGTGCATCTAACGAATACATATATGGCAGCAGCCCAGCCGGGGCCTGTGGCATCCCTTCTGCAGCAGAAGACTCCGACATATTCCTGGTGGATACGGCCTTCAAACTACTCACCTCACTGGACCTAGACACCAGGGACATTGCCCGGAGCGACTGTCAGCAAGTGGCAGCACTAAGAACCCAACAGGACCCAAACATGGAAGACGCATGTGCATTCTTGTCAAAACAGGAGATGGGACGAGCAGGTGGACACCAAACACTCTGGTCTAGGGCACGAGATGCCTCTGGACGGATGGGTGTTACCTGGTCATACAACAGTGACAGCAGGACACTGGGGCTAGCATGTGGCGATTCTTCACTAGGACAAAGACACAGGTGGATAGTCGCCCGCACCATCAGGAACCATCACCGATGCTCCAGGGATGTCACTCTGCAAGCAAAACCAGATCAAGGGAAAGTGATGCAGGTAGTGGCACGGGAACGAGCATCGTCCCACTTCATGAGGGAGGGAACGTACACAACCTTCGCCGACTGGAGATTTATACACCGAGCACGACTGAACATGCTACCACTGAATGGCGCACGTCGCTATGACAGGGGCGGTGACCGACGATGCCGAAGATGCCCTGCACAGCTGGAGACACTACCACACGTCCTTAACCACTGTTGGAGACACTCGGCCACCATGACCCAGCGACACAATGCATTGGTGGCGAGGATCAAGAAGGCCGCCCAGGGGCGAGGGTGGAGACTCATCTCCGAGAACCAGCGTGTTGCAGGCGCGCTAGACACAGGACGACCAGACCTAATCATCACGAAGGATGGAGATGCACTGATGATAGATGTCACATGCCCCTTCGAGAATGGACCAGAGGCATTCACCGAAGCAAGATTGCGGAAAGAAGAGAAGTATGCCGAACTTGCAGCTGAATTAAGGCAGAACTACTACCGGGTAATAGTTGAGGCCTTCATTGTCGGTTCACTAGGGAGCTACGACCCGGCGAACGACAGACTGATGAAACGCCTGGCCTCACGAAAATACCAAAAACTCTTCCGAAGGCTGTGTGTGAGCGACGCCATAAAATGGTCAAGGATGATATACACTGAACATATAACAGGTGCTAGGCAGTATTAACAACTTTGTAAATTTGTAACATCAAGAAGCTTGTAACTTGATGTCTAGGCCATATTACAGTAGAATAGAATAGTGCAGACACCACTGAGTGCTGCTTTGCATTGTATCAATTAGTTATTATTATGAACATGATGTAAAACCCATTGTAGCATTTTTCGAAAATAAAATCTGTTCTTATCAGCTTAATGTCTGATATGATCCCCATGTGGGATCTTTGATATTAAACTGATTTTTGGATCATGGCGAAGTGCTAGGGGCTTGCTCCACCTTTGCCGCGGATCGGCCCAGTATTGCAGTACCTCCGGGATTGGTCCACTCCCCTTGGGGAGAAAAAAAAATCCATCTAATCAAATAATAATGTGAAGCAGTGTTCCATATGTAACTTCTTAATGGCATTAACTGGAACCCAACAGGATGCCCCATGAATTTCATGTCTTACCCATTCTTAATATCCAGATTTTGACCATTGAGCATGGACAACAGAAGTCTGGAATCCCAACTGGATGCCTGAGGCATTCTTTTATTTTTTTTTATTTTATTTAAAACAATGCAAAAACACAGAACAGATTAATACACAAGAATCCAACAGTGACACCTCAACCAGGTCGTCTAAATACATGCAAAAGATTAATATTACATAGAACAATGTAACACTAAAGTTCAACAAAGCTCAAAGGCTACCTATGCACATGTTTATTTACCAGTGAAACTAACATCACCACAAAATATAAAACATTGCTACAGATACAAGCGAAGATAAGTATACTAAAATGTCACAAGACCTTAAATAATACTAACACAATGTGAAATATTACATGCCAAACACATGTATACAACTACCAATAAAGTTGGTATTACCGGTAATGACTTACTCATTACACATTAATTACCCCCCCCTTCACCCCGAATGGATATGGTCGTTATCACCAACATGGTATCTTTAACATCCGAACTGGACATACATGAATAAACTTTTTTTTTTTTTTTATTTAAATCATTACAATGCTAGGTGGAAATTATATTAAGGTACACAAATGAGGTAAATCACAAATTCCCAATTCACCCTTACAAAAATGAGTACAACAGACAAAAGTGTTCTGACAACCTAATATCACACACCATATACACCCAGTTATACCAGAGTTATATACCTGTGAAGGCTGAAACTTTTGACACAATTTCACCCCGTCCCCCTCCCGCCAAATATAACCATTCCCAACCTGATTGCATCTTAAGTTAACATTAAAGGATACATAGGAATTACACTATCATGAGTGATGCAGTAACATCTTGGACACAAAAATATTAATAACAATTAAATGGGATACATGTCTTTACTTAACACAATGACACCTCAGCCTGGTGAAAGAAAACGCCGCAAAAATTTAATTTTCTAAGAAGGTTGCAACAATGAATGTCATCACCCAAAGGCAACTTATGTGCAATTATCTTAGCATGTAAACCCTATTCATTCAACACAGTATATAAATAAAAACTTAATATTATGAAAAACATCACAGAATACAAAGGTATAAAGTATAAAACCCCAGCCATGTAGTGGCTACAAGCAAAAAAAATTCCACATACTTCCCTAACACAGATAAAACAAAACAAAATTTTGTGACGACTGCACCTAAACACAACTCACATCATATGACTTAAGACTACTATGTACATAGATAACAACATAATAATAAATCTAATTTGAATGGATCACAGTTGATCAATCAGCCTTAACAGATCAGGCGTTAGAAAGTAATTCTCATAGTACAAGTCCAAGTCCAACATGCATGTAGTCCCATCTTTCTACATACAATAATATGCGTATTATCTACACATAATACTACAACACACTGGAACAAGCAACTGTCCATCACTTACAATCAATATACTGCCCTACCCTCACTCTGCACAGTGATGTAGGCAAACCCCTCCCCCCTTGAATACCTTATCCATCATTCACTACTACCTTGAAGGAACATGAGTACTATATGAATAGTGTATAGTCCATGACACAAAAAAACTGGCCAGCTCCACAGGTGCTTGCACCCGTGGTCCATACATTATTCACTCACGCATCACTCGTCCAACACACACGCAAACATTCGTTGTCATCCATTACCAGGGAGGCGACCCTGTTTTCACCCATGACTTCCCTGTCCCAGCAACGCTTTCCAATCATACCCTCCCCTCCCTCGTATATTACAA